AAATTCCAGAGGGCACGGTTGTACCCCAAGGGAGAAACGCAAGAAACTGTTTTCATATTGGAATATGTTGTAGGTTGAAGAATGATTTTTATTGGTGTGCGACGGATGCCCTCTTATAAGGCACAAGTACATGTTGATGGAAAAGGCTAAGTACGAGGTAGGCTCCGGGAAGGCTAGTGCGAGTTTATCCCGAAGTCTACTTGTCAAGTTCTCCCGGAGCCTCGATACTTGCTTCCACCATCACTTTTAATATGTAAGTAAAATAGAAAGCAACTGTATTTAAATTTAATCTTCTCTAATCGCTGCGTGTAAAACTGGATCGCGGCTTGTTCTGAATTCTATGAGGTGTTTAAACCGCCCTCTCCCGTACAGCAGAATTGGTGTGAACGATGCAAAAAGTGAGAACTGCCCAGTTCGGGTTCGGATAAATTGTATTGCTGGTTAAAAGTTTAGCCGCTGCTCGGGCGGAGGTTCGAACTCCGGACCTTGTCCGTGTGAAGGACACATAATAACCACTATACTACTCGAGCTGTTGTCTCCCGACTTTTTTTTACCATCCAAGTTTTATGTTCCGCGGATGAATGAAGATTTGCTTTTTAGATTTGTGCTGCTTGTCTTTTCACAGCCGTCTAATTTACGGTGAAGATATTTGTGCCAATTTCGTTCTTTATTGCATCAAGCAAATTTCCGGAGACGAATGCCCGTCTATCGAGGGTAATGTGAGCACAATTTTGCAACAAAATATCGCCCAGCCTAAAGAAAATGGAGAAAGCCTTGAAACAAAAAACGTGGATACGGAAGCAGGAGCTATATGCAGACGAAACTTCACAGTGACTAAACAGCAGAAACGAGAACATGGAAAAAAAGGGGAAAGGGTGACTAACGCGGTCTTCACGCTAATCGCTAAAGGAAAGTCACGCCGACCGTCATCACCACCGCTGCGACCGCCACCGCTCCGCCGGTTACAATCCTGCCTGCACCCGACTTGCTCGATCCGCCCGCGCCTGCGCCCGCGTTGCCTCCAGACCCGGACCCGGATGATGACCCGGAAGCCGATTGATTCCAATTTAGGCCGTAGGTGCCCGTGTAGATCGACCCCTTGTTCCCCATAGCGTTGGCCGAGTAGAAGGGCAGGTACGGCACCGAGACGTTGATGGCAGGCTCATTCAATGACGGCGCGTAGTAGCCTAATTTGCGGGCCGGAGGGCCCGTCGGGGTCGGGTCGCCGGCACTTTTATTGCACCGGTTGGTTTTAGTCAAAGTGAGCTAGTTAAGAGAAAGAAGGGGCTCACCACTGGATCATAACGTTCAAAAATGTGGCAGCGTAACCCGGCTGCCCCGCCGGGTCGGCTGTGACAGAGTCCCAAGGAACGTACCCGCCCGCCCAATCCCTTGTACCCTGAGAACCTGCCCCACCATCCCAAAGAGCCAACTGAATCTTAGACGGAGTCGAAGGGAACGAACAATTTGTCATGGCCTGGTCGGAGCAGGTGTCGGCCTTGTTAACGGTCCTCTGGGCGACGCCGTTGACAAGCCACGTAATGGACGTGCTAGTCCAGTCGACTTGGAGCGTGACGGGCGTCTGGGACGTGATAGACTGGTCGGGAGTCGTGAAAGGCTTCGATTTGGTATAGTCGATCACGCCGCGGTAGAAAAAGTTGCTTTGGACGGTCGATGGCGTCGTGTTCTCGGACGTGATCTCCCAGTCGATCTCGTCCTTCTCGTCAGAGTAGGAGATGAAAGCCGTCACAACGCCCGCGGTTCCCGAGGTAAGGAGCTGGGCCTTGATAGTGCCATAATTGAGGTAAGACGTCGACGTCAGGCGCGCGCCGAGAGCGGCGGGGTATTGGCCCGTGGCGGCGTCCTTCACCCATGGAAGGGTGGGATCGTTCGCCTTCAACCAACAGAGTTAGTTGAAATTAAGTGCGACATAAGTATTCCAGATATACCTTTGGAGCGAGAGCCATCAACACACCTCCCGTCGACCCAAACCTCAAATTTCCATTCCTTAACCCCAAAGGCTCCGCGACAAAATCCGCCGTCATGGCGTCCCCTGTGTATGCGTCCGCGTTGATGACCCAAGTTTTTCCATCAAAGACATAGTAGCCCGAGTAGCACTGCTTGCCAAATCGCTCGCCGTAACAGGACGCGTCTGGGTTCGGAGTGGACTTGATGGTGGTTGCGTTGTTGTAGGAGTACTGGGACTGGCAGCTGTCGCCACAGTGGATCGCGTCGCGGCCGCAAATAAAGACGGAGGAGCAGCAAGGGTCGTCATGTCCGCATGTGAAGACCTATTTGAAGGAAGATCAAGAGTTAGTTGAGAACCTCAGGCCTTCCGCTATCGTTGACAGGACTGCGGTGGCCCCTCCATTCAGTGCCCCGTCCTTCCCCTCCGACATTTTCTTCCTCTTCCTCCAATTCTTGTCAGTACCTTGCCAGTACTCGGCTCGATCCCGCAGTTGAGGTTCTGTGTGTATTGGCCCGCTGTAGAGATCTGTTGTGCATGGACGGGGACCCCTACGCCGACGACGAGAGCGGAAAGAGCGATGACGGAGACTGTCCGTGATCGCCTCGCTTGGCAGTCTGGTCGGCTAGGCATAGTGAAGGGAGGCCGCAGGGATGGAGCAGTGAGGCGACGGCCTGGCACGGGGCGCAAAGTTGTTAAACCTGAAACGTGAACATCCAGGTGCTCTGCCCCTCCATCGGCACTATTGGGCTGTTGGGCTGTTGGGCGGACCGCCATCGAACGCGGCCTCCTGTCCGCCCTCCAGCTTGCAGGACCTCATCAGGACCATTGTAGACGCATCGTGGCAGGCGTGGTTTAATGTGTTAACAGCCTTCCGGTTTGTGCTTGATACTTTTATTTCAAAAGCTTGATTTCTACGGCGAGGCACGTAGTCGATCTGTCATCGCGCTGTTTTGTTAAGGGGTTTAGATCAGGTTTTGTCGTCAGCTCCGCCTCTGGAATGTTGTTGTGCGAGTTGCCCTTGATGTACTTGAAGTAGAGACCCCTAGAGCTGCTAGTGGAAGTCGGGACGCTTTTCAGTTCTAGGATATTGAGGCGAACTGCATGGTTGAATCGCATTATTGCGAGTATTCTTCTACACGACCAATTAAGCTTAGAAAGATTGAAAAAAAAAAGGTTCCTAGTGAAGCTGTCGACAAACGAAGACCTAGGGGAAATTTTGACACAAGAACGGCAACTAAACGCAAAAGCAGTCACATGGAAGAGAAGTGTATAATACCGATAATTCTAGATTGCGCATCCCTCGCCTACTGCCTCTGCTGCTACTACACCATGATCGAAAGGCGAGAGGTCCGCTGACAGGTCCAACGTGACTGATGACGAGTGACGTAAGCGACGACTGGTCAAACGAGGACAACCGCCCCACACATGCGCGGTCAAAGTTGCAGTTGAGCGCGTCGATGCATAACGAGCTCGGAGGCCGGAAAACCGGGATGACTGAAGGGCTTCCGCGTAGCAGACAGAAAAAATCTGCCGAAATAAAAAAAAAAAAGTGCGTTCTGCAAAAGGTGAACAAGACCACGACGAAGGAGACAGAGTCCGCGCGTCAGATTGAAAACTAATAAACGCCACCCATAACTCGCGACCCGGACCCCTTCGCCCAAGGTATCCCCCTACGACCCCAACCCTTCGAACAAAAAGTCCAGCCAGGAAAGGAACAGCAAGGAGACGAACCAAGAGCAAAGGGTAAAGCTCGGGCCGCTCGTTAAATAGTCGTGGGCACAGCTTAATCATCATTTGCGCATTCAGACAACTCGCAGCCTTCCAACCCTCCAGCTCAGTAAATATCACAACTCACCTGCCACCGCTAAAACCTCACACGCGAACAGCACACTCCAGGACACCGAGAACAGGCAACAACCGCGGCCTAAAAACTCTGATCCGCGTCTTCCCTGGAAGGAGGACTCAGAATTGGCTAAAGGGTGTCGATCATAGCGGATCCGCCCGAGTGTAGTTGTGGGGCGGGCGCGTCACGGACCGCGGTGTGCCTTTCTGCTGGCTTGTTTGGATGAGAGCCGTTTCGCGATGGGAGACGGCGATGGGGGTGGTCCGTCGTCGCGAGCGGATTGGAAAGCACTCGATGAATAAATTTTGACAATTGAGAATGAGACGAGCTGACATTTGTTACACCCCCGTCAGCTGGAGGCGAATTTAGGCACTTGCCCGAAGATTCGCTTTCGAGCGCTTCTGTGTGGGCGCCAGGAAGCGCAATTTGCTAAAATATTCCTCTTGAAAGCGCTTTATCGGTTTCGCCGTCAAAGCGCCATCGCCAGCGCGCCTACAAGGTGAGTCGGCGGGCAAGCGCTTGTACGCGCCGCATCATTACGTCGCTCTCACCGTCCTCCCAGCCAGCTCTCAATCCGTAAATTTCAGGGAACTTGTAACTCTCAGTAATAAACATCATGTATTAAGTGTTTGCCATTGTGTATTTCACTGATATACCGACAGCTGGCGCGAAGACCTGCAGCAAGGAGAAGCGGAGGACCGCGATATTTGAATATTGTGTTCAATAAAGCATCTCGAATATCTTCTACAAAATTACCTGCTTACTTACAACAATGGATTACTGGTCCTTGCGTGACAGCATTTCATCAAGCCAGTTGTCGAACTCAAAAAAAAGAAAAGCGTTTCCTCACACTCCAAGATCTTTCCCCAGCAACATCCCGCATGCTCCCCAGCAATCGACGCCAATCCGATCACATCACGTTCCCTGTGACCCCCTCGCCATCCTCGCGCCCCTCTCCGCCTTCGCGGCAACACCCGGATCCCTCCAACGCCCCGATTACCATCACAAACCCACTTTCTTTTCCCTCTCCTTGTTCCTTGTATATTTTACGTTATTTTTCTCGGGCGTTTAGCTTCCGCGGCGTCTGTGCGCTCTTTTCCCGTATCAACTGCTCATCCATCTTCATCGCTCAACACATCGTCGCCATGCCCATCTCCAAGGTGCGTTTCGCGGCTGGCGGCGACGGGAAGTCTTGATGGAGCTGGATTGGGACGCGATCGCGAAGGCCTCGGGGATAGGGTCGCGCTGTTGGGCGACGGTTATGCGTCCGGAAGGTTGACGTGGCGGTTGGGGAAGGCAGGAAGGGCGATCGGGATCTGGCGCGATGGTAGACTGGAACGGCTCTTTTGATGCGAGGATGGCCTTGGACAGTCGGCTGCGGTGGCCGGCATGCGGTCGTGATTCCTCGGCTTCCCCGGCCGACACAATCCACCCTCTCGATCACCACATCCACCGCCTCGTCTAGGACATCCTGAGCTGACGGACTGGTTGGATCTTTATTGCGTCATTCTCTGCGTTGGATGTGGAGGTGGGATGCTTACAGCGTCGATTCTTTTGGCGTTGGTTCCTTTCTTTTCATATTGTGCTCCTCTGATGTGCACATTTCTGCTTTATAATCTCGACGCCGGCGCGTTTCTGGACTTACTGCAAATGGATATTGCGACCGCTGTGATGGATAATTGCCGTATTGGGTTTGATCGTGTTCATTCCTGGGCGCC